ATAATATAAATGATATAAAATAATATAAATAATACAAAATAACATAATATAAAACAATATAAATAATATAAAATAACATAAATATAAATTAATATAAAAATCCAAAACAATATAATAATAAATAAATAAAATTAATAGAAAATAATATAAATAACATAAAATAATAAAATATTATTAAATAATATAGATTATAAAATAATGAATTAATATAAAATTATATGAATACAAATTAATATAAATAATATTAATAATTTTAAAAAAATAAAATTAATGTGAAATAATGTAAATTAATATGAATTAATAAAATATAAAATAAATAAAATTAATATAAAATTATAGAAACAACATAAAATAACATAAATAAACCCAATTCCCAAGGTTTTCCAAAAGCCAACACCCACGGAAATTGCTCCCCCTCTCCTCTCGGGGAGGGAGGGGCAGCCCTGGCACGGCCGAGCCCGGGGCAGAGGAGCCCCTGTCACACCCCAGGGGACTCGGCTCTGCCGTTCCCTGCGGGCAGAGCCGGCAGGAATCGCTCCTGGAGGCCGGGGACGATCCCGGAGCCGATCGATGCAAACCAGGTCAGGGCTCGGCCGCCCCTCGCAAATCACATCCCGAGCCGGGAGGGTCCCAGCGCCTGCTCCCCCTCCCGACGGGAAGCGGCACCAAAAATCTTTCCTAAATAAATCAGCCTTTATTGTAAAACTCGGCCCCCGACCAGACAGAACCTCGTTAGCATCGATTTTGAGATAAATTATTGAAAGTGGCTCTTGCCTGCTCTTTGCATTTGTAAAGGAGGAGGGAAGCACAGCCCTGACAGCCCTGGGCTCCCAGCATCATTCCCATGTCCCAAATCCTTCTGTCCGGATTCCTTCAGCCTTTAACTCAGTGGCACAACCCCAAATTCCATCTTGGCACGGAAACCAGGCTCCTGTGCCAGGAAAAGCCCCAAAACTGGGGCAGCACCACCCGCCCCGCTGCTGCGGGTGACGCTTCCCCACGGACATCCTCACATCCCTGCCTGCATCCTGCCGGCACTGCTTCCATCCCTGAGCCAGGCTGCCCTTGGGAAACCTCTTCCCAGAGCCCTTCTCCCACCTCCTGGCACGCACAGGGGATCCTTGGGACACACGGGATCCTCGGGAAGCGTCGGCAGGAAAACAAACACGTGGCACGGAGGAAACGTCGCCGTGTCCCTCATTCCAAGGGGAGCAGAGCTCTGGGAATCCTGGCACTGCCAGCTCCTGCCTGGACACGGAGCTGGGCAGCCAAGGGAGCCACAGGGATCCTGGGGAGATTTATCCACCCTGTTCCCTTCCCATTTTCTGGGAGCTCCCTCCCGGGATGGGCTCCTTTGCTGGAACAGCTCAGGGACGAGCTCGGGCTGGGGGGGGTCCCACCATCCTCACTCCCCAGGCAGGGATTGGGAAGATTTTTCCAAGCAGCCCTTCCTCCCTCTCCCACCTTGGGCCATTCTCCCCCGTATTTTATGGAATGGGGGGTGTTCCACCAGGAATCCAAGGCAGGGCCCCCCCTCCCTGTGTCCATCACCCCATCCAAGGCTTGGACAAGGAGCTCATTCCTTGGGCCCCAGTTTCCCTTTCCTTCCCTGCTGATCCCTCACTCTGTGCCTTTTCCCAGGTGATTCCCAGAGGGTGGGTGCAGACACCCTGGGATGGCACCACCAGGCTCATCCCTGCCTGCTCCACCCCTTGTCCCGCTCCCACATTCCCAGGCACATTCCTGGTGGATTCTGAGCTGTGAAATCCAGGAATGGGATCCATCTCCCACCCTGCCCCCCAGCCCTGCTGCATCCAGGTGCTTTCCTGGAGTCAAGTCTGGAAGTGCTGCTCTGCCTTCCCACGACCTCACTGTGTGATCCCAGCCAATATTTGGATTTCCCAGGGATGAATCAAAGGGAAATGCTGGAAAACCCAGCCCAGGGGGCTGTGCTGCCTCTCCCTGGGTGGAACATCCCAACCTTGGCCACTCCACCAGTGGGAAAACGCCTTTAACACCCCGTGGGCACCCATTCCCAGGGTCTGGAGCCCCCCTGGAACATCCAGGATCCCTCAGGCCCTGCATCCCAACACTGTGGATCCCACATCCCGGAGCTGCCCGGGCACATCCTCAGAGGAGCTGTGTTTTAATGTAGCAATTTGATTCAATTTTCCACTCTATAAAATTACCCATCACTGCTCGTTGCTTCCTAACAGACACCTTCACTCTTAATTTAACAATCCCATCGAATTCTGCCAGGGAAATTGGAAAAATTTATCACCTGTGAAATTTTATTTTTCCTTGGTTGTGTCTGTTTTTGTAAAACTTCATTAACGACGATGACTTGCTGAGGAAATTATCTCTTCATCTCCCTCCTCTTCTCTTTTCCTCCCCCCCCCTCCCTCCTTCTCCTTCTTTCTTTCTTTCTCAGTTTTCACTTGGGACACGAGGGAGGGAGAAGCTCCAGCTGGGATGGGGATTTTCCCTGTGCTCACTGCGGGGTCACAGGGGTGGCAAGGCAGCCAGGAATGCTGGAAAACCAGGAATGCTGGAAAACCTCAACCAAGGCAGCCAGGAATGCTGGAAAACCAGGAATGCTGGAAAACCTCAACCAAGGGAACCAGGAATGCTGGAAAGCCAGGAATACTGGAAAGCCTTGGCCAAGGCAGCCAGGAATGATGGAAAACCTCAGCCAAGGCAGCCAGGAATGCTGGAAAGCCAGGAATGCTGGGAACCTCAACCAAGGTAGCCAGGGATGCTGGAAACACTCAGTCAAGGCAGTCAGGAATGCTGGAAAGCCAGGAATGCTGGAAACCCTTGGCTAAGGCAGCCAGGAATGCTGGAAAACCTCAGCCAAGGTAGCCAGGAATGCTGGAAAACCTCAATCAAGGAAGCCAGGAATGAAGGAAAACCTCAATCAAGGAAGCCAGGAATGCTGGAAAACCTCAGCCAAGGTAGCCAGGAATGATGGAAAACCTCAGCCAAGGTAGCCAGGAATGATGGAAAACCTCAATCAAGGAAGCCAGGAATGCTGGAAACCCTTGGCCAAGGCAACCAGGAATGATGGAAAGCCAGGAATGCTGGAAAACCTCAATCAAGGAAACCAGGAATGCTGGAAAACTTCAGCCAAAGCAGTCAGGAATGATGGAAACCCTCAGCCAAGGTAGCCAGGAATGGTGGAAAGCCAGGAATGCTGGAAGCCCTGACAGACCATCAGCACCCCCAAACACCATCCTGGGAGCACCCCAAGGCTCCTGCTGAGCCCAGGGACTGCTGAGGGTGCTCCCGAGGGAAGGGGGGGGCCAAAGAGCCGAGGATGAGAAGAGAGGAAGCGAAGGTGAGGAAGGGAAGGTGAGGAAGGGAAGGTGAGGAAGGGAAGAGGAAGGGAAGATGGACACAGGCTGAGGGTGTGTCCTGGAGCTCCAGCTCTGCTCCCAGCACTGTCTGGATGCCACAAGCCATTCCTTCCCCCTTGGCAGCAATTCCAAGGGGAAGGTCTCGGGCACAACAAAACCTCCTGGTGCTTTTTAAGGACCAGCCCGGACAGAAAGTTCTGCAATGAGGAAGAAGAAACAAGGACCTCTTTTTTCCCCATCCCTGAACTCAGACACTGCTGGATGCTCTCAGGGTGGGGTTCCCACCCTCAGGGCAGAGGCAGAACAGGCTCAGGTGACCTGCTGGCCGAGCCCTGGGCTGTGTCACCCCCTGATTTCTGTTGGCAGAGCCAGAAATGTTGCAGGCCTGTCACCCTCTGAGCCTGTGGGGTCTGTCCAGCCCTCGTGAGAGGGCACCAGCTTGTCTTTAATGCAGTTATTTTATCATCTGGTGGCAGGGCAGTAATTGTGTTACAGCCCTGCCTGCCATGCCCAGGAGGGAGCATTTCCATCAGCTCAGCTCTGATTTTCCAGGTAACACAGCCCAGAGATCCCACTCTCACCAAACTCAATCTGACTCGAGCTGAGAGGGAGCAAAACCTCTAAAAGCTGCTTCACCCGAATTTACTGATGAGACCCACCCCCAAAACAGGGAGGGTTTGTTCTTGGGGTCCAGCCTGAGCAAAGAAATGGGGTGAAACCTTCGAGTTTTGGGGCCATGAGATGTTCATTCCCATCAGCGTGTGGCGGGGCCGAGGTTTCCTCCCTCGTTCAGGGGGAGGAGAGGAAGGGGATGGTTTGGATTTTGGGTCAGGGGGAGAAGAGGAAAAGGATGGTT